TCTTAGTACTTAGTACAGCATCCTTTTACAGTTATAACAGCTTTTAAACGTGAAGCATAGCTTGACACAAGTGTCTTGCAGCGATAAACGGGTATCTTCGCCCATTCTTCATGGGCAAAGGCCTCCAGTTCAGTCACATTCTTAGGCTTGCGCACTGCAACTGCTTTCTTTAAGTCCCACCAGAGGTTCTCAATCAAAGTCTGGTGACTGCGATGGCCACTCCAAAATGTTCCAGCCTTTCCTCTGCAACCATGCTCTAGTGGACTTGGAGGTATGCTTGGGATCATTGTCCTGAAAGGTCCAACGTCTTGCCTCAAACTGCATCACGTCCAATATCTCCTGGTACTGAAGAGAATTCTCCCTGAAGCCTCAGGTGAAATTTCCTGGTACCTTCCACAGCAAGGGGGTATGTGAGTTGTGCGACTGCATCACGTTTCCATCCAATATCTCCTGTACTGAAGAGAATTCATGGTACCTTGCACACGCTGAAGCTTCCCTGTACCTGCAGAAGCAAAACAGCCCCAAAGCATGATTGACCCTCCACCATGCTTCACAGTAGGCAAGGTGTTCTTTTCATCATAGGCCTTGTTCTTCCTCCTCCAAACATAGCGTTGATCCATGGGCCCAAACAGTTCTAATTTTGTTTCATCAGTCCACAGAACACTATCCCACAACTTTTGTGGTTTGTCCACATGGCTTTTGGCATACTGCAGTCGACTCTTCTTATTCTTTGGAGACAGCAAGGGGGTACGCCTGGGAGTTCTGGCACGGAGGCCTTCATTACGCAGTGTGCGTCTTATTGTCTGGGCTGAAACTTCTGTACCCACATCTGACAAATCTTTTCTCAGTTCCTCAGCAGTCACACGGGGACTTCTCTCCACTCTACGCTTCAGGTAGCGCACAGCAGTCGAAGTCAGCATCTTCTTTCTGCCACGACCAGGTAGCGTTTCAACAGTGCCCTTTGCCTTGAATTTGCGAATGATGCTTCCTAAGGTGTCTCTTGGTATGTTTAACATCTTTGCAATCTTCTTATAGCCATTGCCCTTCCTGTGAAGAGAAATCACCTCTTCTCTTGTCTTCCTGGACCATTCTCTTGCCTTCACCATGTTTGTAACCACACCAGTAAATGTCTAGAAGGAGCTGAGTATCACAGTCATTTTAAAGCTGCCTAATTGGTGCTTATTATGCTTGATTGCTGCTCGGTGACATCCACAGGTGTTTTCAATACCTGATGGAAAGCACCTGTATGAACCTCTGTTCTTCAGAGTGGTAGTCTTTAAGGGGTTGAATAATTGTGGCAATGAAGAAACCACATAAGAACCATTTACTACTGTATTACATAAACAATTGATGTCATTTTAGTTGCATTTGGGTAGTTACAACGTCCTTGTAGGATTTGATTCTGAATACAATTCCAAATGTACACTATAGTCCCTAAACCCCTTTACAGCATTGGGGGTTGAATAATTTTGGACACAACTGTATATAAATTACAGAGAACAATAGCACAGCAAAGAGAAAACAGAAAGGAGTTTAAAGGGTTAAAGTACTTGCCAATCAGCCTTGGTTTAAGCAGTTTCAAGTCTTATGAGCTCAAAAAGGATTTCTTGTCTTGCACTGTCAGTTTCGATGTTAAATGGGAGACTTTTCTTTTCTCTCTCACACCAAGCATCTTTTTCTTAGGATCTCAGCAGGGTGTCTCCCTGGAGAAGTGAAACCAATCGTCTCTTTTTGGGGAGGGAAGTGTAGGTGGAGACTTAAGTTATGATCAGAAACTCTCATAGCTGATATTTTGGCCCATAACTTTTCCTAGGTACAGTTCCAAGAAAAAGTATGTGAACCCCTTGGGATTACATGGAGTTTTGCATGAATTGGGCATAAAATGTGCTCTGAACGTCATCTAAGTCACGGCAATAAAAGAACACAGTCTGCTGCAATAGACATAATTGCACATAACATGTAAACATTCACAGTGCAGGGAGGAAAAAGTATGTGAACCTTTGGACTTAATAACTGGTTGACCCTCCATTGGCAGCAATAACCTCAAACCAAACGTTTCCTGTAGTTGCAGATCAGACCTGCACAAACTGAACACAAACAAACGATCTGGAGTAATTTTGGACCACTTCTTCTCTTCACAAAACTGTTTCAGTGTAGCAATATTTTTGGGATGTCTGGTGTGAATCGCTCTCTTAAGGTCATGCCACAGCATTTCAATCGGGTTGAGGTCAGGACTCTGACTGGGCCACTCCAGAAGGCGTATTCTGTGTTGTTGCGGCCATTGTTTTATTGAATAACTTGTATGCTTTGGGTCATTGTCCTGTTGCATCACCTATCCTCTGCGGAGCTTCAGTTGGCAGACAGATGGTCGTACATTTTCCTGCAAAATGTCTTGATAAACTCTGGAATTCAAAGCAAAGCAGCCCCAAACCATGATGCTCCCTCCGCCATGTTTTACAGTGGGGATGAGGTTTTGATGTTGGTGTGCTGTGCCTTTTTTTTCTCCACAGATAATGTTGTGTGTTCTTCCCAAACAACTCAATCTTGGTTTCATCTGTCCACAGTATATTTTGCCAGTAGTGCTGTGGAACATCCAGGTGCTCTTTTGCAAACTTCAAACGTGCTGCAATATTCTTTTTGGACAGCAATGGCTTCCTCCGTGGTGTCCTCCTATGTACTCCATTCTTGTTTAATGTTTTCCTTATTGTAGATGTGTCAATAAAAATGTTAGCATGTGCCAGAGATTTCTGTAGGTCTTTAGCTGACACTCTGGGATTCTTCTTTACCTCCTGCAGCATTCTGCGCTGTGCTCTTGCAGTCATTTTTACAGGACGACAACGGTTAGGGAGAGCAGCAACAATGCTAAACTTTCTCCATTTGTAGATAGTCTGTCTTACCGTGGACACATGAACATCAAGGCTTTTGGAGATACTTTTGTAACCCTTTCCAGCTTCATGCAAGTCAGCAATTCTTGATCGTAGGTCTTCTGAGAGCTCTTTTCTGCGAGGCATGGTTCACCTCAGACAGTGCTTCTTGAAGCCAGTAAACCCAAAGCAGGTGTGTGTTTTTTAAGGGCAGGACAGCTGTCAGCAATACATCCAATATCATTACACTGATTGGAGTCAAGGTTGGCATACTCCTGGCTCCAATTAGCTCTGGGCGAAGTCATTAAGCTAGGGCCTCACATACTTTTTCCTCCCTGCACTGTGAATGTTTACATGTTATGTGCAATTAAACCATGGCAACATCTAATGTTTGTGTAGTATTATGTTCAGCAGACTGTGTTCTTTTATTGTTGTGACTTAGATGACGTTCAGAGCACATTTTATGCCCAATTCATGCAAAACTCCACGTAATCCCAAGGGGTTCACATACTTTTTCTTGCAACTGTATATGTAACATTCCACCCACGGGTAGATTAATATGCATAATTGTCTGCTGAAGATCTACATATGAAATATAACATACCTGCTGGGATGATTAAGGAGATTTTATTTCTGCTCTCCTGTTGATCTCAGCTAGGGAAGGTAATATACCAAACGATTTTTCTCAACGTGACCAATCTGAAGCTATGCCTGTGTTTTGTGTAAGTCCCTCATATTCCAAGATATGAAATCATAGGGGGAAAATGGATTTTGAATGTGGTGTCTAGTTTATTACTGCTCTGGAATGTTTTTGAACTCAGTGAAGGGCTTGGTTTAAGTTTTTACGATGTCCCAGATTGCACAGTTTGTTAGACAGAGAGGCACCCAGCTAGTGAGGTTTTATGGCCAGGATGCCCTCCCACTGAGTTTGGTGCCTGTGATCTCTGCAAACACACACTGACCACATGTCACTCAACAGAGAGGGAGGGGGGATGAGCAAAGAGGGGGAGAGAGATCTACAAGATGGAGGGTTGGAGCAAAATGGTTGAACCGCGTCCATCTCTGTGGGTACGATTGCTACAACCGCCACTTTTTTTTTTTTTAAATCAACTTTAACCCTTTTGCTGCTAGAGCTGTTTTTGCATTTTATTGCACACTTTTAAGAAATCATTTTAGGTCTGAAGATTATACAAAACCCCCAAACATTATATATTTTCTGAAAGAAGACACCCTAGACAATAAAATGGTGGTAGTTAGAAATTTTTAGGTCATGCGATATTACCGCAAAGGTCTAGCAAACGCAACATTTCAGTAAACAACACACCAAAGTGAATTTTAGGGCAAGCAAACGCAACAATTTACCTAAAATCTGGTAAAACATAAAAAAACAAGATTGCACCGAGTAAATAGATACCCAACATGTCAAATTTGTGTGCGCCTGGGAAATGACGACAAACTTCAGTACCCTATATTTTCTCTAAAAAGTCTCCTATAGGACATCAGTTTAGTGTTACAGACGGGTGTATTTGCCGCAAAGCAAACAAGGCATTTGCCACGGGCGGCATTTTTCAGGGGGGTGGCACCGCTCCCCAGAAAAGGGACACTAGTTGTGCTGTGCCGTTTCCTGTGTGGTGATCGTGCTGAGGAGGCTCCGAGAGGCGTCGGGGCTGGGCATCAGGTGGAAGAGCAGAGTGAGGGGAGCCAGAAGGATGGCCTGGAGACTCCAGGAATGGACCCAAGATTCCAGAGAGCTGTTTCAGGCTTGTGTTGAGTTGGCTTCATCTAGTACCCCTGAAAGCAGAGATGACTTTCTTCCACCATTCAGTGTGGATCAAATAGAAACACTGGTATGGTTGTTGGAGGATGATCTGGATTGCTTCTGGGAACATTATTCAGCATGTTTACCACATGTGCTAGTGGACTGTATAAACGCAGTGCAGTCTTTGGTCAGACAGGCTATGTGTAAGCTGAGTTTTGTTCAACCAATACTACGGTCCTGGTCAGACTTGTTACACCCAGCCTCAGTCAGCTTGCAACAAACCAGTCCTGCTTCTAATCATTCCTCTGCTCAAAGCTCTACTCCTGCATTCCCGACAGCACCCCCAGTGACAGCCCAATATACCTTGTTATCTACCACATGTCAGTACCCTGTTCCCACTCGCTGCACCTATCCTCCCTTTAACCCTGTAAAAAAGGCCGCTGTAGCAACTATTCCCTCCTCTGTTCCATCTTCCAGCTCTTCTCTGTCTCCAGCTACTCCCTCCATTTGCCCGCTGTCCTGCCAGATGACTCGGTGCCCGCTGTCATGCCAGATGACTCGGCGCCTGCTGTCGAGCTTGGTGACCCGGTGCCCGCTGTCCTGCCAGATGACTCGGTGCCCCGCTGTCCTGCCAGATAACTTGGTGCCCGCTGTCGAGCTTGGTGACTTGGTGCCCGCTGTCGTGCCAGATGACTAGGTGCCCGCTGTCGTGCCAGATGACTCGGCGCCCACTGACGAGCTTGGTGACCTGGTGCCCGCTGTCCTGCCAGATGACTCGGTGCCTGCTGTCCTGCCAGATGACTCGTTGCCAGCCATCCTGCCAGATGATGCGGCGCCCGCTGTCGAGCTTGGTGACCCGGTGCCCGCTGTCGTGCCCAGATGACTCGTGCCCGCTGTCATGCCAGATGACTCGGTGCCCGCTGTTGAGCTTGGTGACTCGGTGCCCGCTGTCGTGCCAGATGACTCGGTGCCCGCTGTCATGCCAGATGACTCGGTGCCCGCTGTCCTGCCAGGTGACTCGGTGCCCGCTGTTGAGCTTGGTGACCCGGTGCCCGCTGTCGTGCCAGATGACTCGTGCCCGCTGTCGTGCCAGATGACTCGGTGCCCTGTCGTGCCAGATGACTCGGTGCCCGCTGTCCCTGCCAGATGACTCGTTGCTCGCCGTCCTCCCAGATGATTCGCCGCCCGTTGTCGAGCTTGGTGACCCGGTGCCCGTTGTCGAGCCAGGTGACTCTCTGCCCGCTGTCGTGCCAGGTGACTCGGTGCCCACTGTTCTGCCAGATGACTCGGTGCCCGCTGTTCTGCCAGGTGACTCGGTGCCTGCTGTCGTGCCAGATGATTCGGTGCCCGCTGTCATGCCAGATGACTCGGTGCCCGCTGTCCTGCCAGGTGACTCGGTGCCCGCTGTTGAGCTTGGTGACCCGGTGCCCGCTGTTCTGCCCGATGACTCGGTGCCCGCCGCGCCCGCCCGATGGCCCGGTGCCTGCTGCTCCGCCCGATGGCCCGGTGCCCGCTGCCTCGTCTGATGGCCCGGTGCCCGCTGCTCCACCTGATGGCCGGTGCCCGCTGCTCCGCCTGATGTGCCTCTGCCTGCTGCCCAGCCTGATGTGCCTCTGCCTGCTGCCCAGCCTGATGTGCCTCTGTCCGCTGCCCAACCTGATGTGCCTCTGCCCGCTGCCCAGCCTGATGTGCCTCTGTCCGCTGCCCAGCCTGATGTGCCTCTGTCTGCTGCCCAGCCTGATGTGCTTCTGTCCGCTGCTCAGCCTGATGTGCCTCCGCCCGCTGCCCAGCCTGATGTGCCAGCCCCTGATATCCAGCCAGTTACCTGACCCAGGCGGTAGAACATTTTGCCAACTAAGGACTGTTTGGAGCGTCCTGAGGCCGCTCCTTTAGGAGGGGTATTGTCAGGTGGACTCGCCAATGGTGGTGGGACTCACCTGCCTTGTGGGCTGCAGTACCAAGGCTGGCCAGCGGGTGCTCTCAGCAGCCAGAATCTTACTCCTGCAATCAGGCCATCACCTGAGGCTGATTGCAGGAGGTGTATTTAAGGCAGGACCAGGCCTGTGATCAGTGCCTTGGTGTATGTTTCCCATGAGCCCCTGTACCTGCATCCTGTCTGCTTCCTGCCTGATCCTGCTTTGATCCTGACTCTGAACCTGACTCTGAACGAACTCCGCCTGTCCTGACCTCGGCTATTCCTGACCACTCTTCCGCTCGCTCCTGGTACCCTGTTTGCCCGTTAGCTACTGACCCAGCCCGCCTGACTACATTGTGCTCCATATATATATATACATATATATATATCAGTTTAGGTTTGGGTTTGCTTCACCTTATTGTATGTATTTGTGTTAGTTTTGGGTTTGGTTTGTTGCACTGCGTTTATGTTTGTGTTGTCCTTAATAAATTATCTTGTTTACATACTATACCTGAAGTCTGTGTTTCCCTGTGTCGGTCCACACACCTCTGGTCATTCCCGGAGCCCTGACACAGAGGAGGTCTGGTGCTCGAAATATTACTCCGGTATGCGTGTAATGTTATCGAAATTGACGTTTTCAAGCGTCAGCGCCCCCAACGCAGGGGTAAAGTGACAGGTGACCGGGAAGTGAGGTCATACACATCACTTTCTGGGTCACAGAAAGAAGGGAAGGGGAGCAGATGTGTGTCCACTCTCTTCCCTCCCCTCCACCTGCCAGCACCAGGCACGTCGGTCCCGGGCCCACAGATGGGCAAGCGGAGCCCGGAATACATGGCAGGGAGTGGCACTACCGGGGGGGTGTGTAGAAGCAATCAGGTGGCAGTACAGTTGGGGGTCTGTCAGTGGGAGGAAGGGGTTGTATTTGGGGGTTTGTCAGTGGAGGGAGGGGGTTGTATTTGAGGGGGTTTGGGTGTTTGTCAGCGGGGGAAGGGGGTGGTATTTGAGGGGGTTGAGGATCTGTCAGTCGAGGGAGACGGTGGTATTTGGGGGGTGGTTGTCTGTCAGCAGAGGGAGGGGTGGTATTTGGGGGAGTTAGGGATCTTTCAGTATAGGGAACAATGGTCGGGAGCCAGGCACAGCAACCTTGAGAAGCTCCGATCATCCTGTCACAGCAGATCACAATTGCGCTCTGCTCTAGACAGGAAATATGTGACCTCTAATTATTCAATTTGTGTCTTTTAGTTGTTTGTTACATTAACCCTTTCACTACCCAGTCTGTACGCCGTACGGACTTGACACCGAGGGGTGTTGCACACAATCTGGTGGCCACAGGGGTTGTGTATAAAGCTGACAAGTAGACTACTGCCTGTCAGGTGGAAGCATTCGGGTGGCTGCGCTACCACTCAATTGCTTCCACACCCTGCAGTAGCACCTCCCCATCCTGTGTGCCACCCGCCATGTGTTCTGGGCTCGGGACCGACATGGCTGGTGCTGAAGGGTGGAGAAGAGACTGAACGTGTGTCCCTTTGTTGCTGTAACCTTGAAGGCACTGTGTATGATGTCACTTTGGGGTCACCACTGTTACTTTCCCTACTTTCCCCGACTAGCATAGCCGGGAAGGAATGTATTGGAATGCGATATGCATTGCAGTACATCTAGTGAAGCCCAGAGGAGACATCCAAGGTCTTTTTGAACTAAAGAGTCCATTGTAGGTCTGTACTTCCAGGGTGTTGAGTGAAGACATTTGGGAGCAGACAGAGAAACCTTGATCCCCCGTGACCCTTGCCTAGCTTGGTTTAAAGTGGCCTCAGGAGCTATGGAGGGCCTTCTTAGAGTGTGATGAAGGTGCACCCTGTGATGAATGCCTTTGTGAAGAGACTCTAACATCTAGGGAAGATAACTACAATTACTGTATAAGTGGCAAGTGTTCTGTACTTGACCACTGCATGGAGAGTTATGAGAGGAGGAGAGTGTTCTGCACTGTGAATGTCTATCATTGAGTCAGGATCTAGTGATTTATTGTATCTATCTGTAAGTGAAATAATGCAGTAAAGCAGTTAAATTGCAATTTGTCGGGCATTTGTTCATTCCAGGTAACAGGTGTTTTGCCAGGACAGTGTGCATGGTGGGTATCAGGGCAGGAGTAGCGTGACACAATATGGTGGAGTATCTCCAAACAACAGGTAGATGACTGTCTAGAATCAGTTTGGTGCAAACTAAAGACCAGTGAGAGGGACCCTTACATATTCGTTTTTTTCTATTGTGCTGACAATCTGATTTCATAGTGAATGAAGGTTTGGAGGCTTCAAATTAGGTTGATCAACCTATATTAGAATAATTGCGATTTACATGTGAAGAAATAAAAAAAATTCAAGGCATGTTTTGGGATTTGAGATTAAGAGGTGTAGTTCATGATCAGAGAGTTAAGGCTGAGGTATTAAGAAAACCAATCTCTTGGAATACTCTCTACATGCAACAAGTTGTCACCCTAGACACGTCATTAGATCAGTTTTGAATGAACAATTTATTAGAATAAGAAGGAGCTGTACGAATATGGAGACATTTGAAAGGGAGAGTCCTGAAGAGAGGGTATTCCAAGTGGAGAATGCATATAGGTTTGCAAAATATAAGAATAGAGATGATTTATTAACAAAAAGATAGCATGTTGATTAAACTAAGCAGGACAACAAGACAAGGAACCAATTTTTTAGCCAAACACAGTTTATAGTTCTAAAAAGTAAAAAAACATAATAAAATGGTATACATCAGTCTTCCTTAAAGTGTATCTAAAACAAAGATGGAAAACTTATTGCAGCTTATTAATCCTTAGATGTGGTGGCTGCATTGTTTTCCCTTTTTTTTTTTTTTTTTAGGAATTTTTCCTTTGTTTTCGCCTACTGATCGAGCCAGTAACACACCTCCTGTCTTAGGGTGGCTTCACACTATGGAGGAAAAACGAAGGCACCTTTGGACAGCAGTATTGTCAACATGAGGGGGAGAGGGTGGAGTTAAGCTGGCCACACATAGTTCGCAGTTCGGCTGGTTCAGCAGGGACTGGCTGACTTTAGATCTATGTACAGGCAAGTTGGTTGCATAGAAGTCGATATTATTATTATACAGTATTTATAAAGCGCCAATAGTTCGCTCAGCGCTGTACATTACAATGGGGGACAGAACAATAACAATACAATGCAAAACATGAGGGGATCGAGGGCCCTGCTCTTTTGAGCTTACAATCTAGGAGATATACCAATTGACTTCTATACAAGCAGCCTGTTAAAAAAAATTTCTGCACAATCAGTGCCACCACCGGCTATAGCTGGCAGTGCTGATCAGTGTATTCTGAGGGTGGGGAAGTTTCCCTGCTGTCAAAGTAAAAAGCGGGAAGGATTTCCCCATCCATATCAAGTGTATTCATGGGGGAATTGGGTAATTTTTTTTTTCATTCAACCTACTGGTTGAATGAAAAAAAAAAAGAAATCGTCTAAGCCCTGGTTCACATATATGCTGCCGTGCAGGCCGTGTTTTGCGCAGGCATGAGAGCCCATTCATTTGAATGGACTCCCGTGCCTGTGACACACAGGGAAGAGGTTCCTGCACTTCTTCCAAAAACGCAGCCTGCGTGGAAACCTCGGTTCCCAGTATGGTTGTGTTTTCCAGTGCGGGTGGCTTGCCATTAGAACTAATGGCACCCACCTGCGGGTCCGCATTTCTCTTTGCGGGAGGTACGGCTGCACAGATTTTCATGCGGATCCGCAGCGGCACCACCCGCACAGAAGTGAGCCTAGACTAGTAGATTTTAGATGGATCCAACTAACAAATTAAAGCGGAACTCAACCTAACACTTTTTAGGCAGTTACAGCAATCATTTTTGGAATAAAGATTTTGTCTCAACTCTCTAACTGCCACTTTTGATGGACATTTGGTCTGTTAAAGTGGGACTAAACCCTCCTATCCTTTTCAGCCAAGGAAGCTGCCATCTTAGCCTCGTTTTGATCTGTAACTGCCATGATGCTGCGCATGTGTCAGTTATGGCACCAGCCTTTTAATAGTTTGACAGTTTGATTAAGAGCACAGGCAAATGTGACAGCATTCCCAGCATGCCAGGAATGTAACTGTTCTTTGAAACCATTCAATTGATGGGTTTAGCTCTGCTTTAAAGGAAAAAAAAAACAGACATACTGGCTGAATCACCAAGTGAAAATACAGGAAAGAAAAGCTTAAAAACAAAACTAATACAGCCATGACATCTAAGAACTGGTAAGCTGCAATATATTACATGTTAGCTTTTGGGTATAAATACGCTTTAATTATTCAGATTTTGGAGAGGCGATAAAACAAGGGGTACAATTCTTGTGTAGAAAATCACCTACACTAGGTAGCTAATGTCTCTTGTTGTCAGAAGTAACATTCTGGATATTAGTTAGATTACAAGAGAAACTCCCTCCCCTCCCCCAACACACACACGTGCACACATCTGCTTTTCTCCTAACTTAACATGTAAATGGTCAGCTATCACTTATTTCAAATTTCTTTCATGGTTAGTGCCTACAGTGCATTTACTTTACTGTTCCTCTGTCAGTGTAAGTCTATCAGTTTTCTCAAACTAACTGAAAATGAGTGCCTAATCTCAGAAGTTGGTCAGCAGGCACTGTCTTAACCTATAAATTCCACTAGAGGGAGAACCTGCAAAACTCTTTCACCACTTGCTTACCGGGCACTTTTACCCCCCTTTCCTTCCCAGGCCAATATTCAGCTTTCAGCGCTGTCGCACTTTGAATGACAATTGCTCGGTCATGCAACACTGTACCCAAACAAAATGTAAAAAAAAATTTTTAAGAAAGAGATTTCTTTTGTTGACATTTAATTGCTACTGGGTATTTTATTTTTTGCTAAAGACTGAAAATTTTGAAAAAAAAAAGATTTTTTTCTTAGTTTCTGTTATAAAATTTGGTAAATAAGCAATTTTTCTCCTTCACTGATGTGCGCTAATGAGGCTGCAGTGATGGGCACTGATAGGCGGCACTGATAGGTGGCCTTGATGGGCATTGACAGGCATCACTGGTGGGCATTGACAGGCAGCACTGATGGGCACTGAAAGGCAGCACTGATGGACACTGAAAGGCAGCACTCAGATATGGCAATGATAGGCGGCACTGATGGGCACTGATAGGTGGCGCTAACTGGCACTGATAGACAGCATTGATTGGAACTGTTAGGTGGCACTGATGGGCACTGATAGGCAGCACTAACGGGCAGTGATAGGCGGCACTTATGGGCACTGATAGGCTTCACTGACTGGCACTGATAGGCAGCATTGATAGTTGGCACTGAAAGGCAGCTCTGATGGGCACTGATATGTGGCATTGATGGGCACTGATGGGCACTGATATGTGGCATTGATGAGCACTGGTATGTGGTTTTGATAGCCACTGATAGTTGGCAATTATGGGCACTGAAAGGCAGCACTGATAATCAGGGCACTGATGATCAGTGTAGATGTCCCCTCTGAGGAATTCCACTTACCGTCTCTCCTCTCCTCACGCACTATCAGCGTGAGGAAAGGACTGCCGATAATCGACATTTCCTATTTTCATGGGATCAGCTGAGATTGGACACAGTTGATCACAGGATAGAGCCTGTGTCATTGGCTCTTTACTCTTATCCATGATCCACTGTGTCCCAGGGATACAGTGCACCACCGATCGCTGCACTGCGTGCCCCCCGTGGGTGTGCAAATGCACAGTTAGAGTGAAAGGTCATCATATGATGAAGTCACATGTCGTGACGTAACGCGTTGGGTACGCCGATGATGTCAAGCCGTAGAACCAGAAGTGCACGTATCGCCATCTCGAATAAGGGATCCCTGCAGTTTATTCATGAAAAACAAGATATAGAGAGTCCTTGATCCTGTAGTGTCCCAGGTAGACACAAATGAATGGGAGTGCAATATTTTACAGTGTTTTAATAAAGTTTTACACATTTTGATATACTTCTCTATTTGGAGAATTTTTTTTTTGTTTATCTGTGGAGCGATTTGGAGTTTAGAGGTGCAGAAGGAGGTGGAGATCTGTGTACCAGCATACCCACCTGGGTTAAAAGGAAAGGCATGGTTTGACCTGACTTTTCGGGTCAATCCATGAGTGGAGCACATAAGTGTGTCGGAGGTGGATAAAGCACTGGGGGGTCACACGGAAGCACTGGATGAATATATGCAGTGGAGTGATTGCACATATGCATTTGGAGCACAGAGGTCTTAAAGGGACGGTTCACCAGGATTGTTTTATCATAGTATTGGGACACTTGTTGATGATATTAGATGCACAGCAGACATGTTGCAATAGCACATATGAAGTACGGGAAGCAATAGAGGAATGGTGCATCATTGAGATTTTTGTATTTGGAGACGTTATATATGTAGCACAGTTTATGCACAGATATGGGTATTCAATTTCATTATACTGTCACGCAGCAAGATTTATGTTTCAATGTTCACATTTGCATGTTTATATAATTTAGCAATATTTGCAAGTTAATATTATTGTGCTGCATTCTTCTGTTTATTACATCATATGATGTCCTCCCAGAATGAGAGAGTCGCCGCCCTCATGTCATTTTCTTACATGGCGGACAGGAGGCAGTTAAAAACGAACCTCACTCTCTTAATCAACATTGACTATTTTTAATCCTTTGTGTGATAAAACCTCCTGCGCTTCAGATGAATGAAGACTAACTAAGCGGCCAGCACCCTCTTTGACCAAAAGTGTATGAAAAAATAATAAAAAATTGGTGCAGCGCTAAACAAATATCATTATATAAATGAACATAACCCTAAAACTAATAAATAAATACATATATATATATATAAATACATGCATGCAAGGATGAACCCCTTTCAATCCCCAGTGGGGGGAAACGTGACCATGTATATAAGATGGTTACTATACACATGCAAAGGGACAACACACTGCAGCAGGTGATAAAAAGTGAATAAATGCAGTCCACTCCAAACAAAAATGGTGATTCTTCAGAACGTGAGAGTGCCAATAGTGCCACAATCCTACAATGGTCTGAGTGCCTCCTCACCTCCCCGCATCGACCACAAGGGCCAATACGCCTTGATAATATATAGGGTGTAACCCTCAGATGTCAGCCGGTCACAGATCCACAGTAGATTCCACCTCATGTACTGTATTCCAAAAACCACCTCCAGCCGCTGATAATGGTGGTAATAAGCCACCAGGCGATGCTCAGAAACACAAAACAGAAACTCCCATAGCGTAATACTGTAATTTTAATTGTAAAGCATAGATACAGAGTTCCTACTCACATTTCCACATAAGATAAAAAAGCATATCACAAGTCCTCATGTAGTCCTGGTACTGCGGGTGTACCTGGAGTCCCAATAAGGCGCGTACGTCGGAAGTGACGTCACCGCGTACCGGAAGTGTCGTCAGGGCGTGCCAACGCGTTGCGTCACGGGTACACGTGACTTCATCAGGGTACAGATGAAGTCACGCGGTGACGTCACTTCCGACGTACGCGCCATATTGGGACTCCAGGTACACCCGCAGTACCAGGACTACATGAGGACTTGTGATATGCTTTTTTATCTTATGTGGAAATGTGAGTAGGAACTCTGTATCTATGCTTTACAATTAAAATTACAGTATTACGCTATGGGAGTTTCTGTTTTGTGTTTCTGAGCATCGCCTGGTGGCTTATTACCACCATTATCAGCGGCTGGAGGTGGTTTTTGGAATACAGTACATGAGGTGGAATCTACTGTGGATCTGTGACCGGCTGACATCTGAGGGTTACACCCTATATATTATCAATTCGTATTGGCCCTTGTGGTCGATGCGGGGAGGTGAGGAGGCACTCAGACCATTGTAGGATTGTGGCACTATTGGCACTCTCACGTTCTGAAGAATCACCATTTTTGTTTGGAGTGGACTGCATTTATTCACTTTTTATCACCTGCTGCAGTGTGTTGTCCCTTTGCATGTGTATAGTAACCATCTTATATACATGGTCACGTTTCCCCCCACTGGGGATTGAAAGGGGTTCATCCTTGCATGCATGTATTTATATATATATATATGTATTTATTTATTAGTTTTAGGGTTATGTTCATTTATATAATGATATTTGTTTAGCGCTGCACCAATTTTTTATTATTTTTTTTTTATTATTTTTAATCCTTGTGCTTCTATCGTTAGTAAATAGATAGGAAAGTGTATCATCTTTATTTGTTATAAACCTTTTTTTTTACATTTCTTCAGTTCCTTCCTGGTTTCATTGTCTAGGCAAACAATGTCATACATCCCAGGAGTCTTCAATAGAGGAGGGGTTTCTCATCTAAGCACACCCTTCTGCCTGCATGCCTGAGCTAAAGACAGATGGATTCCAGGAAGTAAATGCTACATGAATCAACTGCCCTTAATCAAGATGGCAACAACCAGAAAGCTAGGGTGGTGTGTTTCAAAGTGATTTCTCATTAAAATAAAGTATGGAGAAATGGATGGACAGGTTTGCTATGAATAATAAAAATGAACTAAATTTTGTTTTTGGTTTGTGGTGCTCAGATGCAGCGTAGATCCACTTTAAGAAATACTATCATGAAAATCCGCAACAGCAAGCAACCTAAGATGTAAAATTAATATTTAAAATGAACAAACGGTAAAATCTCAACTCTTAAAAAGTACTCAGTTACTTACCGTACTTTCCCTTTAGCAGTAAATAAACAACATTGGCAGTTTCTGGGTTGTTAGTACCCTCTTAGTCCAGCAAGCATTTATTTTGTCTACCCTCCTCGTAGACCGGTGAGAAATGATGAATGAAACATTCATGAAAACATAATATTTCATATAAATCTATTTTATTCAATTGCAAAAAAATATATCACAGTTGTATCCTCTCTTTACTAAGTGAAAATGATGGCAGTGCTTTAGTTCTTCTTTTTGAATATCTGGATGCAAACTTGATCTTCACATGTTAATTCCTGAAATAACAGAAAAGCAAAGTATCATTTTTGGGTGGAACCTTCCTAACAACGGTGTTGAACAATGCATCTAAGCAGCTTGTCTTATAGAATTTAATGGTATGCTCTTTTTAAGACTATCATCAGGTTTGCTGATAAAGTAGAACTGATCTCAAAAAGTGAGAACTGTTCTGTTATAGGGAACATCTATGGTTATGGCAATTGTGTTGAAACAGTACCTTGAAAATGTACTTTTTGTCTTAAATTGCTCCTGAAAATAGCAGTGTACTTCCTGGTATGTAACTGTGCCTAGGCACTCCTATACCTACAGTCTGATGGCTGCATGTCTGCAATGTGAGATCTAATGAACTGCATCCTCTGACTGGTAGTTACAGGAGATTTGACATCTATGGACTAGTAAGCTACAATATATTACATTTGTATCTTTGGTTTTAGCTATGCTTTGATGTGAGCCAAAGAACAACGGCAAAATGTTTTTTATGGAAAAAGTGGAGAGGCTAGAGCTTTTTTCAAGTATTTATTCATGTGTCTCCATTGGTGAGGTTTACCCTCATTTTCTGTCCCAGAGACATAACAGGAATCAGGAAGAAAAACCCCAAGCGGGGCCCTATCATTTTCTCATTCTATCCTAAACTAGCAATAATAGTTTTGGCCTAAGTTCTACTTCAATGAATGAATAATAGCATTTTTTGGTTACCAATCAAGTGTTTATTGTCAGTGCCTTAGCCTGGAGTTCTGTTAGACTGCATCATCAACAAAGACCATATCTCCTCACCAGATAGAGTTTGTCGCCCTCAATCCAGTGCTTCCAGCCACGATTATTCTTTTCTCCTTTTTGAACACAGACAAGTTTGTCTCCGTCCCAGGATACTAAGGTCTGTGGAGTACATAAAACAAGCCTTGTCATGGCACAATAGATCAAGATCTATTAGAGCCAAGAAGCCTAATTGTAGAAGCTTGTACCTGCACCGTCCTGCTGTCCAAGGTCTTGGTTTGTTCCTCAAATTCCACTCCAACAGTAAAGTCCACTAAATAGTTACGAAATGTGCTGAGTGTCTTTGTTTTAAACTCATTTCCATTCTGGATGATTTCCTTGGTTTGGGTTAAGTGGGCCGCAATCTTACGAGTAGCAAAATCAATGTCTATAGGGAAAAAAAACCCCACAGGTCAGGACTGGAAACCAATAACATTGAATATTTTTGTATAGACCTTCCATAGATGTAGCATTGTTTTCCATGTTTCACGTCACATAGACACACATCTTAGGTCAGATATACACACTCTGATATATTAAAGCTGTCTGGGGCAACTCAGCAGTACAGGGTCTTTGTGAGCCTTAGACATGTCCATTATGGCTTACAGAGGTCCTACATTGGAACATTATCTTTCCCCATAGAAACCAATTCTGTGGGCAATTGTAGCATAATCAGCTGTAAAATCCTTTTTATTAACTGAAACTGCCTACAAATGTATCTTGTTGCGATCAATTTTCATTATTTATTGTAGAGAGATGCGGGATTGCCACATCCAGTTCAGGCTCTAGGGATATGATTCAATTACCTTGCAATCATTGAGGATCATAGTGCAGGTAAACGATGAAGAGGTTTGTAGGGATGCTGCAGCCCTTTAAGCTGGCCATACAAAGACTAGTTTTCTAGCAATTTAACCAGCTTAAAGTGGAACTTTAGTCAGACAATGAAGTCCTGATAGATCACTTTAGTCTGGTTCCTTTTGCAAGTATAGTTGTGTAAAATATTATAAATAAGTACCTATACTATTTAAAATCCAGTAGTGCACTGTCTCATCCTGTTCCACACATGCTCTTTTGCTCTCTATTTTCAGCACTGTGCCTAAAATCAGAGCCACTAGAGGCTGTTCAGCTGCCAGCCTAAAGAGTTACTGTTGCTGAATGGGGAAGAAAACAACAGGAATGCCAGACTGTGTGAGGAAACACAGATCAGAGAGAGAGAAAAGGAAAACAGGAGAGGTGACAGGACAAACTCTGCTGCCAGGGAGACACAAAAGAGTTAAACTTACAAGGATAGCTTGTTTTCGTTTCTCCATGATATTTTCTCATTTCTGTCAACTTCAGCCTGTCAACTTCAGCACTGCAAAGCTTCTGTCAGCTTTCCTCTCTTAGGCTCCATGTACACGAGCCTACCCTGATCACCGGCCACGGGAAAATGCAAATCGCTGCAAAACGCGGTAACCGCAATTTTGCCGCTTTTTGCGTTTTCCCGCAGCCAGCGGTCAAAACGTTCCTATCCTGAACGCAATTCTTCTGCGTTCAGGAGAGGGACATTTAGCCTCACCTAAACGCGGAAGCTCCCAAACTCTGCTAAAAGCCCATGTGTACATGGACACATAGGCTTTTATGGAGTCGAGTTTAGGAGCTTTGGCAAAAAAATGCCAAAAGCTGCTAAACTCGAGTTTGGGAGCAGCAGTGTACATGGAGCCTAACTGAGCCAATACATACCATCAAGGATGGAAAACTAGTTAACCCTCTGCGTGTAAAAAGGCTGGTTAATCCTGTCTTCTCTGATCCTCCCCTTATTCTATTGTCCCCAATCCATTTGCTGGTAGTACAGAGTTCTAGGAATCACAATGCAAATGCTAAGTTTAGAGTGTATGGCCAGAGAGTTTTTTTTTCTTTGGGAGTTTGCATGTGATCGGGCCAATCAGCACTGTCCAGACAGAGGGTCAGGGGTTATGCAGCCTCATAGGACAATCAGAGGAGAATGAAAACTCCTCCTACAAGCTTTAAGCAGTGCTTAGTTGGACACTGATAGAAGTCACAAACCTGCTATATAATGCTGATGAGAAAAGGTATTTAGCAGTTTATATTTACTAAAATAATTGTGTTTCCATGTTGTGTGTACTGTGGGAGACCAGACAGCGTGAATGCAGGGTCCTGGGTTTAGTAACACTTTAAAAGCTGATTGGTACAGCTGCTCCAGATTCTGTCCGCTCTAGATTTAGTAAACCCCCACATTGTACTTATGAATGCTGAAAGCAAAGGCACATTGAGTGCTTTCAACACTCTACTGGTGTGACGATCTGCCATTGATAGGTAATAGCAGTGAACATGCCAGGGGCTTGATGTTACATGCATTGGTTAATGTGAACCTTTCATTCAAACAGAAAATGCTAGCTGCCTGGCTCTTTAATGACTTGATGACTCCAAAACGTTCTGTGTCCATGATCAACTCTGTAGTGTCACGTAAACTCATCCAGAGTCCTCTGATTGTACCCTGAGAGATGATATCTATTTGTACAATTCAACCCAACTCTGACGGTAATATGTGGGGCCAGCGGCGTTCCTAGGCGGGTGCGGGGGGTGCGCGCCGTACCAGGTGACACCTATCGCACGGGGTGACCCCAGACCCTCTCCACGAAAAGGAAAGTTTTAAAGGAAGCCGATGATCCCCGCAAGATGGATCGGATCTGCGGATTGAGCAGAATGGATTGGAGTCCGATCCATTATGCTGCCCAATCCGCAGATCCCATCTATCTTGCGGGGATCATCGGCTTCAACCTATACGGGGTTAACTGATCTAGGTAAGGCTGTGCAAGATCCGTGACTTGTCTGTAACCAAGAAATGCGGCAGGAACCTCCTCCATCTGACATCACTTCTGGAGCATGTGCAGACCGGACCAGTGTTGAAAGAACAGTTAACCCCATATAGGTTGCAAGCCCACGATACCCCCAAGATGGATTGGATCTGCGGATTGGGGAGCATAATGGATTGGACTCTGATCCATTATGCTCAATCCGCAGATCCTATCCATCCTGTGGGGATCGTTGGAAGGATGACACCAAGTGTTAACACACCGGGTGACACCAACCCTAGGGACGCCCCTGTGAGGGGCCATCTGAATCACCACAGTATTTCATTGCACACTGCCTGCATGCTTTCTGATCATATTTGAAGTCTCTCTCCATTGTTCTCAGATGTATGGAAGTCATTGTTTCTTTTCTCAGTTCTGCTGATATTCCATCAGAGGGCAGTGTGGAGTCATAAATGCTTCCAGTATTGCAGAAAAGGTGATTTTATGTATTATAAGAGATTATTATACAGGATTTATACAGTGCCAACAGTTTGCTCAGCACTTTACAATATAATGGGAGACAATACAGCAACAATACAGTTCAATACAAGAGGGATAGGAGGGCCCTGCTCATTGGAGCTTAAGAAATATCTTGTAGTAAAGAAGTCTGCTCACAGTCATTGCTAAGCCTGTGAAACATTAGTTTCCTATCTGTCGTGCCGATCCAACGGCTTCAATACTTTTGAAGACACTGACCTGAGACAAGTTTGCATATTACTATTCTCCGACTTTCCTTGCTGCATGCATATCTCAGGTCAGTGACTAAAGTAGGCCTTACACACTCAAGGGCCAAGTTAAAAAAAAAATCCGATTTCTCCAACTATGCTTCAGTTTGGATGAACAAATCTCCCTGTTGGGCTCTTGTATTCTGACAGCCATCGGTGGTGGTTGTCAAAATAGCCAAATAGCGGCTGCATCTCATTGGATGCAGCCACTGTTCAGCTGGCAATTTTCAGCTTTTTCAGTCGAAGGATTCCCAGTTGGGGATTATCAATTTGTATTAGCAAGCAATTGTACCTAATAAAGTGGGTGTATAAGGTCTGCTGTGTGAGGTCTGATGTAAGGGGGCTCTGGGAACCCTGGTTTAAGAGGGAATGCTGGGAACTCTAATGTCTGCAGTGTTTCCTCATACACCCCCCCCTTTTAAAATGTTTATAAACCAGGGGCGGACTGACCATTTGGAAACTCAGGCACTGCCCGAGGGCCCGGGGTCAGTAGGGGGCCCCATGAGATGCCCCTGGTACCTTTTTCATAGGCTTTTTTGAGTTTGGGCAAAGACACAGGGGCCCCATGATCCCCTATTGCTCGGGGGCCCCATGAGTTGTCAGTCTGCCCCTGTTGTAAACCTAAAAATAAATATACTTTACATTGTCTCTTTAATGGATTTCTGTATGTCCGTCTTCATGTTAATAATATTTTAGTGTCTGCTACTTTTCTCACTTACCTGGTTAATCCTGCCTGTGCTCCTTCTGCATATAGTAAACTGACCCCACTAAGCATGGCAGCCGATTCATGCTAGTGTGGTCAGTTTACGTCCTCTGTCATCCCACTGTTAGATACAGGCACATTGTGAAAGAGCACAGTGCACCTGTATCTTTTGTGGTCAGAGTAAAGCCTCCCCCCCCCCCCCCCCACTGCTCCCTCCTGCCTAAAACCAGCCATACACGGGTCGAATTATGAAAGAATTTTTTTAAAAAATTTTTCTAAAAAATTTAGTTCGAATTTCGCACAATTAGTGGGTCACAGAAACAGCCGATTTTCATGTGACCATCAAATCTGAGTGATCGGCATGTTGGAAATGTTTTGAAAAACAAACGAATTTTGAATCAACCATGGGAGAATCGTGTGAGAAATATAAATGAAAAAGAAATGAGCATGAGCTGCGACCTGGAAAGAAAAGACAATTCTTTGCCATGAAAATTCTTTTCTGTAGCAACATGAGGTGTAATTGAAGGCTTGGTTGGTCAAATTTCGAAATCAATGGTGGCGCCATCGGATTACAATACACTCAAAATTTCCAATTTTCTAAAGTAAATTTGTTTGTGCTATGCAGAGCAATACAAAGCAGCCTGCTGGAACTGACAGGAGAGAGATCTCTATTGTTTACATACAGACCTCTCCCCCCATCAGTGTTCCTCACCGATCGCCTGGGTGCCGGTGGGGAATTTCGGGCCGGGACCCAGTGATCGACAGATGTAGCCCGCCGATGGTGCGCGCGCCCCATACACGGAAATACAAAATCCCGTATATATACGTGATTTTGTGCAGACCTGCTGCCCTGTAGCAGTAGTTCTGCGATAGGGCGGTCAGGAAGCGGTTAATTATACTTTACAGTGTTAATCTAAGATTGACATTCACCCATCAATCTCCAGTAGAACACAACAATTAGGCAGGACATAGACGGGCCATTTTTTGGCCGAAAAACAAAAAATCGGTTGGCCCCGTTGCTGATCCTGCCACCCATGTCCACGAAAAATGGCATTTTTTTGTGGATTTTCCAGCATGACCGATAAAAACAAATGAGGAGATCCGCAAAAAACAGCCCCACTAACGGTGTGATTATCGGCCGATTGTTCGTGCGGGTGAAAATTCGGCCGATAAATGGCCGTCTATGGCCTGCATTAGTTTTGCACTAGGAGAGTTTTTTAGTCTCCGAGATTAAAAATCACCCACATAACCTAATCTAAGAATGTACTGAATCCAGAAACCAAGTAGCATTTAGAAGCTGTCAGAAAGCAAGCCTCTATATTTCTTTCTGTACAGGGTTCCTTTAGACCCCTTGCACGTGGGAGCGTCCAGCCACAGTGCATTCCTCCTGGTGTTTTAATGCGCCCAAGAGGGACAGGTGCAATGTTCAGGTACAGTGAGCTCACTGTAGGCACCCTGTCAATATCAATGGGAGGCTATGACTGGGATGGGTTGGACTCTGTACTGAGTGCTACCTGAATTTTATTGCAATCCATTATAAAGGTCCTCTGTGTTCAGGACTAGATCTTCTGCACTGTGGACTTTTGTCCTTGTATGCACACACAGGACCTGCACCTGTCCCTCCAAAGCACATTAAAGCTCTTCGAGGGACGCACTGCAGCTGGATGACCCTGTGTACAAGGGGCTTTAAATTGGTAAGTAGAAAAGTGTAAATGCTGTTTTTTTTTTTTTTCTTTGCAGACTTCATTCACACTGGCACTACTGCATTTAGCTTTTCTAAACGCAAAAGTCATTTGTGAAGTATAAACAACTTTTAGCTTCCCAAATCACATTTTCCTGCATTTAAATGTTCCTGCAGGTTTAGATGCATTTAGATTTTTTAAGTTGCATTTTGATCCTGATGCACAGAATTCTATTTTCTCTAAATTCAGCTAAACTGACTGCATCTAAATGCAGGTAAACACTCAGCGTGAATGGCTCCACTGAAAAATCATTACATGCATTTATATGCAGTTAGAAATGTCCTCAGGGCCCATTCACACCAGATGCTGTGGGATGTATTTTTCACTACATTTCAGCTTCATACACAGTCCAAAATTCAGGTTCTCTTGCGGGCATAGTTTATATCAGGGGTATTAAATTCAAATTCACCAAGGTCCAGGCAGTAAAATTTGCATGCATCAGAGGTCCGAATCTCATGTAGGCCCCTGTGGTGCATTTTCGTGTGCACCAAACCACATGTTGCTGCAGTGTGATTTTGAAGAAAAAAAGGGTCGGGGACTTCTTCAGGTTTCTAGCATGTAGTGCTGACCTACCCACAACGTGTGCACCAAATGCACATGTACAGATCTGAACCTGTTCTCACATCAGTGTCCTCAATCCCCTCTGCACATCACAGTCCCCTCCTCATCCACAGCCTGATCCTTCTTGATGAGTGTCCTCAGCTCCCTCTTTACATCACCCCCCTCCACCCATTTCACAGTAGTGTTCTCACACTTCCTTGACATCAACCCCCCCCTTCCCCAACAGTACTGTCCTCTGCCCCTTCACTGAAGAGTATTCTGCCCCTTTTTACATCATCCCCCCACATTACTGTCCCCAGACCCCCCCCCCCATGTTACTATCCTCTGCCCCCTCCATGTTACTGTCCCCAGCCCCTACATTACTGTTCTCAGCCCCCCCATGTTAATGTCCTCAGCTGCCACATTACAGTTCTCAGCCCCCACACACCACTGTCCTTAGCTCCCCACATTACTGTCCTCAGCCCCCCTTCGCACTACTGACTTTATCCCCTTTAACTTTGTCCCCCTCCCACTGTCCTACCTTACACAGATAGTGATTGATTGCTAGGACTGCACTTCATCCTAGCAACCAATCACCTGCCTGTTAATCTCGGGCAGCTCCCACTGTCCATCCAGAACTGTTCTGCCTCCCACTGTCAGCTCTGTGAAGATGACTGCGAGACAGCTGGGGGAAGAAAAGGCTCTTAAATGGCAGGACTGCATGGGTCCGGATGGGACAGTGACTCGGTCCGCATCTGGACTCTGATCTGCCATTTAGTGATGCATTGTTTATACTATTGCAGTGTAATGCAGTGCAGTGAAAAAAGTACAGCAAGCTGCATTTTCCCGCACTGCAAATACATAGAAATGCATGCAAATGCAGGAAAATGCACTACAGTGCACATAAAATCCTAAAGAAGAAAGGAAGAAAGTGGCACTAAAAGAAATGCAAGCTTAGCAAAGTGCATTGCAAATGCATGTAAAAGTGTGTTGTCAATGGCACATCACTGCATGCAAAAATGTTCAGTTTTTTTGTGTGAATGGGCCCTAAAAGCAATGAAATTCAGGTTTGACCATGCCAGTGTAAACGAGGCCTAAAACATAACCATAAAATGAACAACACGACCCTTCTCTAAACACACACAGCCACTTCAGTCCATAAATCAATGGGGCCAATTCCTAAAGAAAAAACAAATTCAACTAAGGCTCCTGTCTAAATTGGCCCTAGTATGTGTATGTATGAATGTAAGTTAGGGACCTTAGATTGTACGCCCCTTGAGGGTTAGGGACTGATGTGAATGCACAGTATATATGTGTAAAGCGCTGCGTACATTGACAGCGCTATATAAGTACCTGGAATAAATAAATAAATTAACTATTGTCCATAGCACTATGTGATCATGTAAGACAGCCTTAGAGAATGCTATCTATTTTCTTAATTGGCTTCACATAGATCAGTGACTGATGCTTCAAATTAGAAATACCTAAAGCCTTCATGTATCCATCAAAGTTGTCATTCTTCTCCATGACCCAGGTTCCATTGTAGTCTGCAGGCATGGTGACTGGTAGCAGAGATGAGATGGTGCAAAGGAGTAACGTGGACAAGACAGAGACTAGAAAAGAATTCTCGTCTTGCTGCAGTTTATATGCTGATTGCTGGGATCCTGATAAAAGGGTTTCAAAGTCACAGATAAGTTGACAAGGATTTTATCTCCAGTAATAAGTCCATAGGGCAAGTGTAGAAATTGTCTTTGAACTTCAGAAGTGGACAGACCCAGAAATGTATTAACCTCTTCAGAGTCACCCTATGTTATCTGCCACCACCCCTTATAGCCGGGCTGCCTTTGGAAATGACAAGTGTACATCTTGATATTGCTGGCCCATTCCTGAAATCACAAGGATCCTTCCTATTATTGTCACTATTAGTACAGCCATTGTTACTAGTATTGTATTAAAGGTCCTCCTAGAGTGAGCAGCGTGCAGCATTGTCCCCCTAGACCATACCTAGTACCCAGTGTTCAGTAGCATTTTCCCAGAGAGAGCAGTATTAAACTCAGAACCAGGGCTTTTTTTCAGTGGGAATGTGGGGGAATGCAGTTCCGGCAACACCAGCACTGAATGTATATCATGGCAAGGAGTGCTGGGGTGTGCTGGAGGGTCTATTGATGCTGACTGCTGGGGGATCTATTGTCACTTGAGGGGATCTTTTTTTGCAGGGTGGTCTGTTGTTGCTGGGAAGGGATCTAATGTTGTTGGGAGGTCAATTGTTGCTGGAAGGGATCTAATTTCGAGGGCAGGGTCTATTGTTTACTGCTGATGGGAGATCTATTGTTGCTGCTTGGGGTCTATTGTTCCTGGTGTGATATTTTGCTGTGGGGGTCCATTGTTGCTGTGGGGGTATTGTTGCTGGCTGCAGGGGATCTATTTTACTGTTTTTCTTGTTATCATTAAAAAATTTTATACAAAATTTATACTTGGCTCTGTATTCTCTAAAAGGAGCGTTACTGGGAGGTGGGCAGGGGGTAGAACCAAAGGACAGTGCTTGGAAGTGGGTAGGGGGGGGCGGAAACAAGGGGTATCTTCTGGAAGCTCACCCTATTCTGATCTACACCAATCATAAGAACCTGGATTACCTGAAGACAGCCAAAATACTGAGACCCCGTCAGGCCAGGTGGGCACTGTTTTTCTCTAGATTCGTGTGCCATATTACCTACAGACCTGGGGCTAAAAACACTAAACAAGATGCGTTTTCACGCATGTTTGACAGCCCTAAGCAGTCACCTGTCAGCTGGGAATTTTTCATTGTTGCAGTCAGACGTCATCACACAGAATAAGCAGGAATCTATAGGAGCCTCCTCACCTTCGGGAGTTCCCCTGTCGGCCAAAGAAGGATTGCTATGGTGGGAGGACAAAATCTTTGTGCCGGAAGAACTCTGTTTAGCGGTGCTGGAACTGTGCCATGGCCACCCACTAGCAGGGCACTTTGGAATCCATGAGACCACTGATTTGGTTCAACGCTTGTTCTGGTGGCCTGACCTGGCCAAGGATTGTAAGTCATATGTGAATGCCTGTGTCAAGTGTACCTGTAACAAGAGCAGCAGAAACGAAGTGTGGGGTTTGCTCAGATCCCTTCCGATCCCTGATAGACGATGATTGCTATGGATTTTATCGTGGAACTTCCATCTTCTGAGGGATACGCTACTATTTTTTGTGTTGGTCGACCGATTCTCCAAGATTTTCTGCCCATTCGCCCATTTTCTGCCCATGAAGGTTACACCCTCTCATTGGAATAGCTAGGGTTTTTGTTAAGAAGATGGTACTTGTACCTATATAGTATCAGATCAAGGGGTCCAGTTAACATTCAGATTCTGAAGGGCACTCTGCGAGACCCTAGAAATTGAACTTTTTATTCTCATCTACATATCACCCACAAACCAATGGGCAGACAGAGAAAACAAATCAATAAATCTGCTGCTTCATATTTTTCTCTCAGGATGACTGGGTATCCCTATTGCCCCTGGCCGAATTTGCCTACAATAATGCCATTCACTCAGCAACTAAGCAATCCCCATTTTTTGCAAATTATGGATTTCACCCATCATTTTTTTCCAATGAGCTACCAGAATCTGCAATTCCAGCTGTCCAAGACACCCTGAATTTTTGTCCAGCAGTACAATAGGATCCTGCAAAAAAGTATAGCCAAAGCACAGGAGGACAAGAAAAGAGTACTTGACAGAAGACAAAGGAGTGAATTAATTCTGGAACCTGGAGAACGGGTCTGGTTATCCATAGACAATCTAAGGTTGGCATGCCCGATGAAGAAGTTGGGACCTAGGTTCATGGGACCTTTCCCTGTCAAGAAAAGAATCAATAATGTCTCCTATGAACTTGTACTATCTGACTCTTTAAAGGTTCATCCTGTATTTCACGTCTCCTTGCTGAAACACGCAGTCCCTGATCCTTTTCCAGGTCGCAATACTGGTCCCCCGGAACCAGTAATCGCTGATGGAGAGGAGGAATATGAGGTGGAGACCATCCTGGACTGCAGGAAAAGAAGAAACCAGGTACAATACTTGATTAAGTGGAAGGGGAAACCAGAGACTAATGTTCATGCCAAAGAATTAATTCATGCATTTTTCTGCAGGCATCCTGAGAAACATGCCCAGTTGGGCATCCAGGGGCTTTCCGGATGGAGGGGGCAATGTCTGGGAATGTGCATATTTTTGCGCAGAACTCCTGTTAGCCCTGCTCATGGTCGATTAGCAAATGTGCGTACGCAGTTGCGCATACAGACGTGCACAAGTGTGCATGCGTGATGGCGCATTGGCGCCAGGCAGGCTATTTAGGTTGGGCTAGTACCTTGCATTAGTGTTGTTTGGTCTATTAGTTTTGAGCACCCATGCATCCTGTTAACTGTGATTCCGTTGCTGATCTGACCTGTTATTGACCCTGCTTAAATGCTGTCTGTACCAACCCCTGGCCTGCCCTTTGACTATTCTTTTGCCTGCCGTTTATGCTTACTCTGCCTGTTAGTTGCCGACCCGGACCCTGAACCAGCTTATACTTGCCAGTATCCTGCTCCTTCACTTCTACTAGCATGCCATCTGCCAGCTGCTCCTCCATTTCTACACGTCAACATCCATCCGCAGAAGTCCTACCAGGCACTCATGCACCTCTGTGCTCCAGTGCTCCCTGCTACTCTACCAGGGCCCCTGAGCCAGAGCTGCAAGGGGTTCCTTCCTCTGCACTTCAGGTTCTACCACCAGGTAGGTTACAGTGGGACTCGAAGCTGATGCTGATCCTGCATCCACACACTGAGAAGTTTCTCCATCTCCTCTATCACTTTACCACGCTTTTTGGATATTATTGTTGACTTCATAGGCACAGCAGACTTCACATGTCCCATGATCTGGTCTTTGTTCTTTAGAATTGTGCCAATGGTTGAACAATTCATGTTATAAGAATGATGATGTCTACATCAGATAAGATGTCTACAATCTTTTCGCCTCGGTCCGTTTCTCAATTATTTTCACTTTTATTTCCATGGTTATTGCTTTGCGTTTCCTAGCAGTCCCCTCCACATCACCACTTGTTTTGCTCTTGCTTCTGGACATCCTGGGCTCTGTACAGTATACTATTGCACTGTACAGTAAGTACACAGCAGCACAACTGTGAAAATGTGTGGTAGTCACATGAGCTACTTCCGCAATTTGTTTGCATCTATGAATGTTCATAATGCAAGGTCTGTTCGTATCTGTGAAAGCTTGCAACTTGAATGTTTATAAGCTGGGAACTTACTGTATTATATTATTTCATTTTGGTGCAGTGTTGCGTGATCACGTAATTGTGAGTAGCGAAGTGCCGAATAGTAAAAAATGCCCTGGGGGGTAAAATCTGCTGGAACTTAAGTGGTTAAAATGAAATTGCTGTAGATAAGAGAGGATACATGAAAGTGTATACAAAGCAAGACCAAACCCACCTACAGATGGGTGGACAGGGAAGAGATCAAAAAGCCTACTGTCTAAGTCCACTGTTTGTTGAAAAAAAGTAGAACTGCAGAGGTCACCCACATGGAGGTGGAGAGAGACTTCCAAGTAGAAAAGAAACTCCGGACTCTTGGAATTGCTGTCCTGCTTTGAAGTTCAAAGTCTTAATTACCACTTGAACCTCTGATGTCAGGAAGCCATCTTTATTTTTTAGTGTCAAGCCAATATAGCTTAGTGAGAGAGGGGCCCAAAAGACTAAAGAGATAAAGCAGGAAGACCAGAGATTGCGTTTTGAGAGGGCACAGGTTTTCTGTTCTCTCTTCACCTTCCTTCCCTACTCTTCATGTACATATGCAAGAAAACCTTCAAAACCCAAAGCAAAGTGATGGGCACCCATCATTCTTACTAACCTCATAAGAGCTTCACCCTGAGTGGAATGGGACATTTCTGGGTCATTTATCACCAAGCAAATGGGTCTGGAATATTCATAATGTAACTGTTGGGTAGCTGAAGAGTCTTATTGCTCTAAAATGTGTCTATGTGCTTCCCAATAGCTCTAAAACTCAGACAACGTTGAGAAATGAGCATTTTGTAGCTTGAAACGCCAAAACTCTCAACATCCAATTGTGCCAGTTTACACCTGAGCACAGTGTCCCTTGAAGCTTGCAGCTCAAAGTACATAGGCTTCTTTTGAGCTACAAGCTTCAAGCGTTTTTTTCTCTAGTGGGCAAAAAAAAAAAACGGGAGCACCTAAAAAAACATGCAAACACGCATGAAACCACACATACCTGTATCGCACATTTTTTTCCTCTAGTAACTAGCTTTCCATTGGCTAAGGATAAAAAATGCTTAACCTTCAGACATCTGCAAAACGACCACAGACACTCAGCTCAAGCGTGAACGCAGTCTTACATCACTGAAATTAATGAAAAGTAAACATTTCACAATCTTCAATAAATTTACCATCTTTGATCCTTGAAGGTACTTGATAATATTTTATTGGATATGAGCAGAAAACTTCAAACCATGCAAGCATGAGTAGAGTCTTCAGATAATCGGTAGAATGGAAGC